AAGCGGCGCACTTATCCAGTGCGCCACCGGGCTGGCCCCTGTCTACCTGTTTGAGAGGGGCTGGCAGTTGAAAGGATTTCCAACTACCTCATGGGTGGGACAGGCAAGCCTAACGGAAAGCTCATCTCTTCTATCATTCTTATGCATTTTCTTCCCCTCAGTTCCACCCCTCAGGCAGCCAAGGCACTGTCACTGGGCCCTGGAAGCCTCCTGTTTGTATTTCTGGCTCAAAGACCGCAGCTGGCCCTTTTCATGAAGCTGGGGTTCTGCAGTCCGTTAACCTGCCGCCAGGATAGTCCAGACCAGGCCAGAGTAATAGTGGCTGGGCTAGGGGCCTGAGATGACAGCAGGAAGAGAGCTGCTGGGACAGAAAGATTGCTGAGGGTGAGGGTAAAGTCTCCTGTGCTAAGTCCCAGCAGCCGAACACCACATGAAGTTTACAAAATCCTTTCACTCACGATCTCTTATTGTTCCATGATCTCTTATTGATCCATGAGGTAGCTATTGTCCCATAAGAGATGTGGAAGCTGAAACTCAGAGAAGGAAAGTACTAGGTCCATCTGCTCACTGCCTGCATCTCATGGACCAGGGGCTTCCTGGAGACAGCAGAGCTGGAGTTGGGGGTCAGCCCACTCAAAGGGTAGATGGTTGCCCGTGGGGCTTGTTCACTGAGCTTGCAATGCAGAGTGTAATTCCTGCCACGGTGAGCACCATGCCAGCAACTGCTCCTGGGATAAGGGAGAGAGAAATCAAGGGACACTGAGCCCAACCATGCCAGTTGGAGCTGGTACAAGGCTGATGGAAAGGCTCAGATGAGGTCTGATGCCAACTGCCACCCCCAGCCTCTATCCCCAGACTGCCCAGGGGAAGGAAACTCTGATGGCCACAAGGAAGCAGGAGAGCTGCAGGGGAAAGGGACAGGATGGGAGAAGGCCCTCTTCTCACCCACCCATGGGAGATGGGCTCTGGGAAAGAACTAAGGTATGTCAAGGTCCAAGTACTCGCAACAGTCTGACTTACGTTTTCCACCAATATCTTCTCCAAGGACCTTCCCAACAATCAGCGTGAAGACAATGGCCAGAGAGTTACAGATGGGCACAGCTAGGGTCAGATCTGGGTGGTCAGAATAAGAATCCCTGAGATGCAAAAAAATGCTTTTCTAGGCACAAAACACTTTCATTTCATCATTATTATCATTTCATACCTTTAAAAAAGGTATCATGACCCCATTTTCCAGATGAAGTCACAGCAAAGCTCAGGACTCAAACCCGGGTCTCCTGACTCCAAGTTCAGTGCTTCCTCAGGATTCCAGCATGAAGACCTGAACTCTGAGGTCTGGGACCAGCCTGGTTTGATAGTGAGAATGCGGTCTTTGCACTTAAAAAGAACTCCTGAGATCTCAAGGACATCTGGACAGAGAAACAGGCAGACACCAAAAGCCCAAAGGATGCAGAAGAAATGCGTGCAATAACATGAAGCACAGCCGCCATTTGTTAAGCACACACTATGTGCTAGGTGCTTTGTGTACATATCTAATTTTCACACCACTGCAAGGAGAGTATTATCACCATTTTGCATAGATAAAGGAAACAAAAGGCTCAAAGAAGTCACATAAATTGAAGCAAATTGAGGTTTTAAACCAAGGTATAGTCCCTGGCTGAAGTAGATGCTTAATAGTAACTACTGTTCTGATTATTAGAAAGGATGGATATTAAAGGATAGAGGCAGGGGAGGTGATGGGTAACAGGATTCTAAAAATTGCAATTTGTTCAAAATTTGGTAAATGGCTAGCTGCAGTCAGCTGGCCAACAGTTCAGCGTTCTTCTGCAGCAGTGAATGTATTAAGCCAGAGGCTTTCATATTCTTTTTAAAAGAAGTCTTATGAGAAGCTCAAAATGTAAACGGGATGAAAGTGGAGTGACTAGTTGAAGCTGAAGTGGCACATCTGGAAGCTGTCCTATCCCCTCACCTTCCCATGGCCTCTGAGGAGTTCCCCAGAGCTATTTGGGGCCCAAACTCCCCTCAAGTCCCCTCGGGGTCTAGGTGAAACTCCAGAGGAGGTGAAATCACATTGAGGGGACTTCTCATAGCAAAGTTCAAGAGCATAAACTTTATTTGTGTTTATTTATTTATTTTCTTTTGTTTTGTTTTTACTTGGTGTTTTCAAGAGCATAAACTTTAATGTATAGCATCAAATCCTTCTGCACTGCGCTGTGCTGGGGGACTCATGAGAGGTGAAATAAGTTGCTCAAAATTTTGTAACTTCAAGGGCCGGCCAGTGGCTCACTCGGGAGAGTGCGGTGCTGATAGCACCAAGGCCGTGGGTTCGGATCCTATATAGGGATGGCTGGTTAGCTCACTGGCTGAGCGTGGTGCTGACAACACCAAGTCAAGGGTTAAGATCCCCTTACCAGTCATCTTTTAGAAAAAAAAAAATTGTAATTTCATCTCTTAAATGAAAATAATCATGTCTGCTTCACAGGGTCATGATGGGAATTAAACAAAATGTGTAAGATTAACACAGTATCTGATGCAATAGAGGGAAGGTCAACAAACATTGAAAGAAAATTTATATTTATTGAGCTCCTATAGTGTGCCAGTTACTCTGCTAGATGCTTCTCAATTTAATCTTCACAATGTTATGAAACCAACTGTGTAATACCAAGGCTCAGGGCTGGTTGATTGGTTCAGTTGGTTAGAGCGTGTTGTTATAACACCAAGGTCAAGGGTTTGAGCCTCCATGCAGTCCAGCCTCCAAAAAAAAAATAATAATAAAACCAATGCTCAAATAAAGGAGTTGCTTATGGTCTGGCAGGCAGTACCCAGTAGAAGCCAAGAATGTTAAAGCCAGTCCTTGGCACAGCAAAATAAGCCTTCCTTCTTCCTCTGCTGAGGCACAAGACTGCTGGGCTTCAAACCAACCCTAGAGCCTGCCAACACACTCATAACGAGCCCACTGTGCCTCTACTGATCAGGAAAGAGGGTACAAAGAGGGAACTAGAGACAGTACTCCCTCACTGGTAGGAACAAGGTGTTTCAGTTTCACTCCCCAAAATGACTCTTTGAGGTGGACGCCACCACTAAGCACAGCAGTTTCAAACCACAGACCCACCTGTTGATGCCAAGGTGAGGTAATAGAGAAGGGAGCCACACTGGTTGAGGAGAAAGGGCATCAGGTACTGCGAACAGGAGAAACCTGCAGTCAGTGTGATTGCTTGACTAAGCAGCCCTGCCTCCACTGAGCTTCTAGCATATGCCTTTCCTTAGAGGGAGGGATGGTTATAAAGACCCACTAAGCTCTCCAAGAAGGACACTTCCAGGGCAAAGAAGGAAACAGACTGAACTCCATGCCTTTGCCCTAAATGCCATCTCACTCAGCTCTGCTAGTTCTCATTCTCCCCGTCCTGCAAGGCCTTGAGTGCCAATCTCACCCTCTCCAGGAAGCCTTCCCCAAATCCCCCAGCTGCTGCCTCCCTCCTCTGAACTTACACAGCACTTTATCCGTGTCTCTATCATAGTCCTTAGCCCTGAGAAGTGGTTGTGTCCATGTCTTTCTTGACTTTCCCACTAGCCTAGACTGGCAGTGTTGGGATCAGAGGCAGTTCTCCATATTCCTCCTTATCCTCCCCACCTCAGGGCCAGTTTGAGCCCCAAGCCCCTGGAAAGGCTCACAATAGTTGCCTTATATAATTGGAGGAATCACAATAATAGATTGAGCATTAATTATGTACTAGGCCCAGAGCTAAGTGCTTTATGTGCTTCACTTAATTCTCAACTGCCCTATAAGACAGTTATCATTATTATTATTTTTTTTTAAAAGATGACCGGTAAGGGGATCTTAACCCTTGACTTGGTGTTGTCAGCACCACGCTCAGCCAGTGAGCGAACCGGCCATCCCTATGTGGGATCCGAACCCGGGGCCTTGGTGTTATCAGCACCGCACTCTCCCGAGTGAGCCACGGGCCGGCCC